CTGACCAGAATCAGTGCCGACATCAATGGTGTCATAACTGCACGAAAGGGGGCGTTGTATTTTTAGGCCACTTAAAGGCGTTTTAAAATCCTGTCACTCAGTATCTGCTGTTGCACTTTCTTCCTCAACAAAGCCTAATTTGGCACGAGGCGTTGCTGATTGGCGCAGTGCAATATTGCCTGCGCATGTGCAACGGCCTACCAATGCTTACCTATGGGATTGTCAAGATTTATGATCCCAGCCATGGAGGCGGAGTCTGGCACGGCGCTGGAGTAAAGGTGAGTAAATTCACCCTTTTCATGCACAAAGAGGGGGCTAGTCACTAAAACAGCCACTTCAGCACTATAAAATCAGCAATACAGGTTTATATTCCTAGCACTATAGTGTCCCTTCAAGTAAACTAGCTGAGCCTGAAACATCCTCAAATTCAGCTGGTTTTCTAGTTGATATTTTATCTCTGTATACATTATGTTGCAAACAAACACGGAGTGTGAACTATTGGCACATATTAAGCTTTTGCGCTTGTTTAGAATGTCTAAAAGGGTTTTAGACAGGAGAACAAAAAGGATGACCTTTTATTATCTCATTGGGGAGATTTATTAAAGCAATTTTGTGTTAAATGGACGCTATAGGCAACCAGACCACTTCCTTGCTCATTGAAGGTCTGAGTGCAGTGTCCCAGGTCCCTTAACCCTGCAAAGGTAATTATTGCAATTTTTTTATAAACTGCAATAATAACCTTTATGGCTAAACTCCTCCTCTAGTGGCTGAGCATGAGGACTTCCAGCGTCACCGGAATCCCCATAGGAAAGCATTGAATAATGCTTTCCTGTGGGTAAATCCAAATGCGAGCGCGGCCATTGCCGCGCATGGTATTAGGACTCCCCAGCCGGAGGACGTCAGATTGGGGAGGAGCGAAGGCAGACTCGAGCCAGCACCGAGGGACATCTGTGCTAACCCAGTTAAGTGGCAGAAGGGGTTTTTAACCCCTTCTGCACTGCCGGGGGCTGAGCACTTTAGAGAGCCATACTGCCAGGAAAACAACTTTGTTTTCTTGGCACTACAGTTTCCCTTTAATGGGCAGTGATGCAATGGGGCAGTAACCATCAGAGGAACGATCCCTCTGGCCAATACAGAATTCTACAAACGAAGCAATTACTATGGTAACCTGCACACTTTCAGGATCATGACACTTTGATACATCTCCCCAACAATGTAAAATGTAGGGACGGATTATCAACGTGTGGTAGAATACTATACGACATTTTGTGAAGCTTTCTGGTGACTATCTTTCTCAGGTTTATTCACTAAAGTGAGAATTCAAAGTGAGCTTGATATTTAACATCATAAAAGCCAAACTGCAAAAATTATCTGCATCAACTATGCTTTCAGTTCACCTTGTCTGGCCTTAAATTAGAAATTCACTAATGTTCAAGTTAGTCAATAACTCTGCCTGTGTATTACTTTTGCAATCTTTACTGTTTTTTTGTGTTTGCTTGTTTTATAGTGTATTCTGTTTATTAAGGCTGATTCAATTTTTGTTCCACCAGAGGGTATTGTTTTTTTAGTTTCTCTTACTGCCTGTATTGCTCTGTGTAGAAATTGATGCTGAAGGTCCAGAGAACATTTGCAAAGTGGTCTAAGTTACAATGTGATTTCCAAAAATGGAATATTTAAAAATAAAAACAAAAAAACCCACCACAATCTTAATCTGGAATAGATTTTTACCAGCTCTGGGACACTTTTTCCACACATTTTAAACCCCCTCTCCATCTCCCGTAGGGAATTCTGGCTTTGACATAGAAAGCAGTAGATTTATCTAAGTAAAGTGATGTGGAAAGTGATGAAATCACAAATGGAATGTTATTGCTTATTCTTCTGTATCCCATGGCAACTGCATCACTTTTAGAACTTTGCATCGGTTTTCAGATCAGGACATTCTGATAAACCTCCCCCCAAAATCTGAATCTCCCCATCTGTTCCTGATCAGTTTTAGTTACTGTGTATCAGACTCTGGGAGAGTTGGCAGAGCAGGGCTGGGGGCGGGGCAGAGTCACGTGACAGCAGGAGAAAAACTCTGAGACACAGCAGAGCAGAGTCAGTGAGAGCTGAATAGACGGAGGTTGGGTGCTCTGTACCAGGACTGTCTGTCTACACTGAATGCTCTGCACCAGCAGGACTGTCTGTCTACACTGTGTGCTCTGCACCAGGACTGTCTGTCTACACCGAGTGCTCTGCACCAGCAGGATTTACTGTCTACACTGAATGTTCTGCACCAGGACTGTCTACACTGAGTGCTCTGCACTATAAGGACTACAATAAGGCTTCTGTACCAGGACTATTAAATGTTTTGCTACAAGAGAACTACAGTAAGTGCTCTTCCCCAGGACTACAACAAATGCTATGCTCCAGGAGAACTATAATAACTGCTTTGCTACAGGAGGACTACAGTAAATGCTATGCCCCAGGACTAGGACACACGCTCTGCTACAGGAGGACTACAGTAAGTGGCTTGCTCCAGGAGGACTGCATCTCCCTATACTAAGTGCTGTGCTACAGGAGGGCTACTTACCACTTCCTTCACCAAGTGCCCTGCCTCAAGTGGGTTTCCTCTGCCCATAGCAGAAGATCTGCCTTTCCTTGTACCACCAGTTTGTGCTATTTCGGGGCAGGCAATACTCAATATACCAGGCTTCAACTAGCGGTGTTTGTGCGTGGTATCCAATGGGTGAGAGCCCATTTGTAGCTCTGTCCTTAGAAGAGCTGTGACTGTGCTCCCAGCAGCTGAACTGTTCAGCCATGGAGAATGAGGAGGAGTGGAAGATCTCAGTATGGCTCTGCCAGGATGAGAAGCTGGTCTCTGGCCTTAGCAGGAGGACCACTTGTGCAGAGGTGGTCAAGGTCCTCCTTGAGGACTACAACCAAAATCAGGCTGCAGATGGGTCCATGCTCCTTGGACCTCCCCAGTCCTACTGCATTGTGGAGAAGTGGAGGGGCTTTGAGAGGATACTACCCAACAAAACCAAGATCCTAAGGTTATGGACAGCATGGGGAGAGGAACAGGAAAATGTCAGGTTTGTTTTGGTCAGGAGCGAGGCATCCCTGTCCAATATTGGACCCAGGAGTGCAGAAGCCAAGGTGGTCCTCAGCAAGGAGAGCCCCTGCCATCTGAGAGGGTCCACCAAAGCCATCAGCACTTGCCTTAACCAGGAGAAACAACGGAGGGTGGTCAGGAAGGCCTTCCGCAAGCTGGCAAAGATGAACAAAAAGAGAGAGGAGACCTTATCTCGGGATTCCTGCTCGGTGGAAAAAATGGAGACCTTGGTCCACCTGGTTCTCTCCCAAGACCATACCATCCGCCAGCAGGTCCAACGAATTAAGGACTTGGACAGGGACATAGAGAGGTTTGAGGCCAAAATACACTTTGACAGGATGAAAAGACATGGAGTCAACTATGTCCAGGATACTTACTTGGTGGGACCAGGGTCTGACCCAGGGACAACCAGTGACAGCCAAGAGGGGGGTCATGACTCCCAGGAGGAGCTCTTTGTGGATTATGAGGATTATGTCCAGAAATGTGAGGAAGTTTTAATGCTTCAAGATGAAATAACCCAACAGGAGGTCATGATTGACCAACTTACAGCCCAGATCCAAGAGGAGCTCAATAAAAGGTGGATGGACAGGAGGCAGGAAGAGTTGTCTGAGAGAGAGCTGGACTTTCAGCAGGTGGACACTAGTGGGGACCAAGAGGAAGGAGAGAGTGAATTACTGGTGCAACAGGAAAGGGTTAAAACAGAGCTCAGTGCCAGCCTTTATATAGGACTGAGGCTCAACACAGACTTGGAGGCCATCAGAGCAGATTTGGAGTTCACTCAACAAGTCTGGGAGGAGAAAGAGAGTGAATTTCAGAGTCTGTTACAGAGTCTCAATGATCTGGATCTTTCTCCAGGACTTCACAGCCCAGTGGATATGTCAGTAGGACTTCACAGCCCAGTGGACCTCCCTTCAGGACTCCATAGAGCAGAGGAGGCCACAGACAGCACTACTTTGGATAGTTCTCCTGGTGTTTGGGTGGTTAAAGACATTGAGGGCTTTAGTAATTGTGGGGCCAATGATGAGGATTCAGACACTGGGCTGAGTTCAATGCACAGTCAGGATTCAGACACCACTCCAGTCTGTGAGTCTCTGGTATAGTCTTAATTATTAACCTTTTATTGGCAGAGTATATGTATAACACAAGCTTGACACCCCTGTGGCACTCACCGACTCCTATCTGCTATTTAAATAATCACCAAGTGACACTCTTAATGTTTAGTGATTTATATTTGCACAAGCCACCAGGGAGGTGATTGCAGCCCTGCCTGGCACTAAAAGAGTTAATCCCTTCATGATAGCCCACATCAGGACTGTCACAACATTTAGTGCCTTATCCAACTCTTATAATGAAAGGGTTAAAGCCCACTCAGCAAGGTCTTCCCTACAAAATTAACCCAATGTCGCTTTGTAAAATGTGTTGTTTTTTTTATAAATAAAACATTTGTTAGTTTTAATCTGATCTGTTACATTATTCACTGCTTGTATATATTTGAAAGAAAATTATATATATATATATATATATATATATATATACATAATATATACACACATACATACCTCCCTACACTCACATACACCCATACATACATACCTACACTCACATACACCCATATGTACATACCTACACTCTCATACACCCGTACATACCTACACTCACATACACCCGTACATACCTACACTCACACATATCGTCACTCACATACACCCATGCATACATACCTACATGCATACATATCGTCACACACATGCATACATACCTACATTCATACATACATACCTACACTCACATACACCCATACCTACCTACAAGTACACTCATTCATACACCCACATATACTCAATAGTTGGTGACATTCATTTAGACAAGGCTGAGACAATTGCTGAATTGTGGGCTCTGTGCCCCCCTTCCCTAAAACAAATATCCCTATCTGCAGCTCAGATAATTCCAATGTTTGATGTTCTGTTGCTCCCCTGTCTCCCTTGAGTCGTTCATCTGAGGGGGTGATTTAAAGACCCTCTGACCCATTGTTCATTTAGAAGATAGGATGGTGAAAGGAGGAATGGGAGTTTCTGTGTTTATATGTTTAACATGTTGCTGGATTTTGTATTAACTAGCCCTTTTAATGTGAATTTATTTATAAAATAGAAGTTACTAAGATACTCGACTGTGTACACTGAGTCTCATAGAGATTATCTCTCTGGAATCAGTGTCTGTGAAAACACAGCTTTGCTGGTCTGAGAATAATATAAAATACTCTAGGTCTTTAAATGCCAAATGTTCTGAGAGGGCAGCACTGAAACTGTTCGAATGGAACTTTGAGAATGATACAATATAAACAAACAATATAGTCCCGTGCCAGGGTTCCACTGAAACAGTTAATTATCAATAAATTGGTCTTTGTTGGAATCTTTCCTGCTGGGCCCACTATCAGGAAGTGTCAAGATACCTTTCTTTCTTTTGTTTTGTTTTCCTGGTAGCGAAAGTGTTAAAGAAAATAAACTGGGGGGAAAGGAAAACATCAAAAGAAATCTGCAGACAGTGTGAACATGAAAGATCTAGAACAGCTGTCCTGGCAGTGTTCATCAGATATCCAGATTGGGGTATTTACCAGCAGCTTTCTACCCCAGGACACCCTGTGTAGAGAAAAGATTAACCCATGTGTATCCCTCAGCTCACATTGCTGAGTTTACCAGATGCAATATGCAACATTCCCCATTATTGATTCCAAGGCAATGCTAGCTCCTGGCTTTTAACATAAAAAAAAAAAGAAAAGTGAATCTTGTTAGGCTTTTGTATGTATCAGATATCCACCTCTGGCAGTGAATGGGTTAAACAGGTTGTACATACAGACTGTGCACAGATTATATGCCATTGTCTCTCCCAGTAATATGAATTATATATAACTTGTCAGTTATAAACAGTCCCTAAAACCAAAAATTGGATAACAATCTCTTTACGGTCAGCTTTTACTGGAAGGCTATTCCATGTATCTACTATCCTTTCTATATCACTAAGCCATTACCGCTGCCACTGGAAGGTTATTCCAAGTATCTACTACTCTTTCTATATCACTGTTAGTCTTTACTGCTTCCACTAAAAGGTTATTCCATGTATCTACTACACTTTTCTATATCACTGTTAGTCTTTACTGCTTCTACTGAAAGGTTATTCCAAGTATCTACTACCTTTTATATATCACTGATAACCTTTGCCGCTTGCACTAGAAGGCTATTCCTTGCATCTTCTAACCTTTCTATGGCATGGTTAGCCTTTACTGCTTCCACTGGAAGGCTATTCCTTGTATCTACTACTCTTTCTGTATCACTCCTGGCCTTTACTGCTTCCACTGAAGGGTTATTCTATGCATCTAATATCCTTTCTATGACAGTTAGCCTTTACTGCTTCCACTGGAAAGCTATTCCTTGTACTTACTACCCTTTTCTATATCACAGTTAGCCTTACAGTTTACGCTGGAAGGCTGTTTCAGGTATCTACTACTTTTTTCTATATTACAGTTAGCCATTACTGCAATGGCTATTCTAAGTATTTGCTACATTACCTGTATTTCAGTATGGTATTTTCACCAAAAGGTTATGAAAACAATTTAATGTATTAAAGTTGGGTGTATTGTGCTTTTGCAAGTTTCACAGGCAGTAAAACAAACGTAGTTTTGTCTAATGGCTGTTTTGTAAAGTTCGCTCAAGAGAGGTTTATTTACTAAACTAGCTAGCATATACCGCAGTTCTTTACAATAGGTACAAGACAAACTATTCATTCTCAGAAAACACGTTTGACATATGTGAACAGGGCTGTGCACAAGCCGGCGTAAAACTCCTATTTTGCTATAAAATGTGTAGTTTTACTGTTAATTCTCCACAATTATCAACCTAGTGAATAGACCTCACAGCGGCGCCCATGATTTGGCAGAAGGAAGCCATGCCCGTTAGCCCACAGTGGTCCTGGTTATATAGAAATGTTGCAGAGACTGACATTCCTAAATCATGTTAGTAAATAAAAGCTTGGCGCGGTCCCCAGGAGTTATTATAGAAGGACTGGGTGACTGCCGATCGTATTTGCTGTATCCTATTGTGACAGAGCGCAAGGAATTAACTGAGCCCAAGAGAGCATTGTGGAAAGACGCCAGACTAGACGTCAAAAACATACTTTACTTGTGACAGCAAATACAAAGCACATTGTGTCTCCGCTCCACCGCCTAAGGAATGGAGATTGTACATCATTTCTTATTGTTGGTAGAGGAGGGAGTAACAGAACCCTGGGATATCCCAGTTACCCCATCACCAGGCTGATCCGGCATGGGGGCGCTATACTCACATAGTGGGACAGAAGTGAATACAGGCATACGATGTACACAATGAAGACGGCAAGAATGTTTGAACAGGACCCTCACCACCTTTTGTTCCTGGAATTATTGTACAGGAATTGTTTTAGGTTTGTTTTTGTTTTTCCTTTTTAGAGAATATGTAAAAAATCTGCAAAATGTTGTTTGTTTTTGCACACGTGCATAAAACCTTAACATTAAGTTAGGTTTATACAAAATGTAAATATAATTATCCCTACGTATACCGCAGTGTCCTGGATCCCTGGGTGCAACTGGACCTGAGGTTGGCCTATCCTCACAATATGATTTGCAAAGAGGTAATGATGGTCCAGGCACTCACGTTCAATCCAGTGGGAAGATTTTATTGGAGCAGAATCAAATCAAAACAACATTTCGGCCCACACCAGGCCCGAAATGTAAAGACACAAAATCAATAATATGAGAAAATGGATGAGGGTTCAATATTGTACCATTAATTTTACAGAACCTCTAATATGTGCACATGTAAAAATTACATCAGTGTGTTTTTAATATATATATATATTTTTATTTACAATCTAGTGGTGTGGAAATATGACAGGCCTGCCTATTACATGTAGAATGTCAACATACGCTGCAGCGTTGTATGACAGTAGGAGTCCCAGAGATCTGGTGAATAACTTAATAGATAAAAGTATCACAAAGGGTTAAAAATGTTGCTGTGAATCACGTAACGAAATTGATGCAGCAAATAAGTTATGAGCAGTAAATAAACTCTTCAGGTGCTGACAAAAATCAGAATTGAAGATTGATCCTTTACAGGAAGATGGCATGTGACTTCTCATATTTGCGTTTTGTCACAGAGAGGTTAAGACACAGGTTATTTACTAACATGAGACTTGAAAGTGAAATTAAAATTTAAATTTGACTACTCTGGCCTTAAATTTGACATTCACTGGAAGTCACTGTGAATTCTCAGTTTAGTAAATAATTTTGATAAGGGTTTTTCTTGGCTGCAAAGTCCCCAAAAGGCTAATTTCTTAATTCACTTTCTAGACAAACAGAAGATTAAAATTCAGCTTTGCAAACAGAAAGCGACACATGAGAAAGGGCATTGATTAGGCTCAGATATCTTCCATGCCAATCAGCCCCTAAAAGGTTTGTACAAGATAAAGGCAGCGTTCAGCCCTTCATGCAATTATGCAAATCAATGACAATGAACGCCAGGCTGAGCCGTGCCTTCTAGTCGTCCACTTCTTATTTATAAAGCGCTAAAAGGTTTATTCGCTAAAGCAAGAATTGTGGGAAATAGACAAAGTCCCGCGCTAGCAAAATAGCTTTGACGAAATAGAATTGGAGAATTTTCCAAACTTGGATATTTGGACAAAAATGTTTGACTGCCTTGTCAGTTCTATGCAATTTCTCAGTTTAGGAACTAAGCCCCTAAGTAAATAGTCTCTGCGTTTAAAAAAAAAAAAAATTGCATCATATGATGTAGGAGGTTTTGCAAATCACATTTTTTACATTATTCTATTAATTCAGTTTTAAAGAAAAATTACAACTAATGACGAAATCATTTAGACTTTAATGATCTTACGTCAAGCTAGTTATTCAGGTTTTAATATATGCCAATATTAAACCGAATATTCTGTGCTGGAGTGGCCAACTAATTTAATGCATTAAATCTATATTTAGGTTAAAAAATAGCCAAGCTGTGGTCAGAATGGAGTTTAGTGATTAACCCGGCTTGTGTAATTTTAAGACACATTACTGTATGTATTATTGCTGTGGAGCTTGGTTATACTCTAACAATATGAAGCTCCTAGAAAACAGGGCCATTACAATGGAACAGAGGGACTGCCCCCTCTAGAAGCAGGACACTTAGAAGTTACAGCAAAACTCAGCACAGTTAGTTATAGTATTACAGTCGTTTGAACAGTTCAGACCATAGAGTTTGCTCTGTCCTTTCCCAGCATTCATGTGTCACGTGGACATAAAAGCCAACACATTCCACTTTTTGTCACAAAGTAGCAAGATAGTGTGTTGGAATATTTACTTAGCAAATTACAAAGAAAACAAATGTTTCTAAAATGAAGTGAAAAAAAAACCCAAACATTTCCTTGTACTCTGAAGAAGTTTGAAAGTGAATTATATGCAACATTGCGAAAGACTTAAAAATATATAGTGTGTATATAACGAGCAATGATATTATCTACAAAAAAATAAAACAAAATTTTTTTTTTACAATGGGATCAGGCTTCATCAGTTTATTGACCATTTTTGTCTGATAATTTGTCGGGTATATTAGTCGGGACCATCTGCCTTTTTAACTCTATGAGCAGATTATGAGAATATGCTGAGACAGGAATGTGGCTTATAAAGGTGGGTGGATAATCGCTTCCCTCTAAATCACCACTGCAGATGTTACTCTGGATTTCGAAAAGTTCCTAAACATTTAATGTCTTCAAAAGGATTCCAGCACGCTGAAATAGTGTGTACGTTTAAATCTTACAAAACAACCACAAGACACAAGCTACGTTCAGGTAGAACAAAGCGATGCGTCACCCACCAGGGGGTAATATGATGGCTGCCGTACAGGTTTCTATAGAGAAAGACACCTGTAAACTTCAGACAGACTTGTTACTAAACAATTATTATTAGTAAAACGCAGGGCTTTCTTTAATGTAAAGGTTGCTGTAGGCAAAAAGCTGGAAGAGGGCTTAGCTTTAGACTAGATTGGAAACTGTTCAGAGCTCGCCACAAACACCATTTTCATTTTGCTAATGTACGCTAAAAAAACTTGTCTGCACGTAATGTGTGCTAAAGAACTTTTTGTCTGCACGTAATGTACGCTAAATAACGTTTTGTCTGCACGTAATGTGCGCTTAATAACTTGTCTGCACATAATGTGCGCTAAATAACTTTTTGTCTGCACGGAATGTGCGCTAAATAACTTTTTGTCTGCACGTAATGTGTGCTAAAACATAGCATTGGTACAAAATAGTGTATTGATCACCTCTGTGACAAAGAAAGGGTTAAGCTTAAGGATGAAGAACAAATCAACAATATAAACTCAACACCCATCACATCCTTCTGTATAATTTAAAACAATTTTTAAAAATGTAAAAAAAAATTGGAGACACATAGCGAAGCATCATGGGAAATGTCACTCACAAACATCTGGATGCCAAGGCTAGATGCCTCCTCTGCATAGAGTGACATAATTAATTTTTTTGTTGCTTCTGGTGAATAGTTCAGTTTTTAGAAAAATTTGGATAGACTTGAGCATCCGTCTCTGCAATGCGTGGTCTCCTATAAGGGTTTAGTCACCATTTAGCAGAATGATTTAACTGTGTTTTTCATGTCCAGTCAGTTAAGGGTTAACCCTAAATAGCCACCCACAGCCTTGACTGGCTTTCAGCTGAAACGGTAAGTTTGATCAGTTCAGAGCTGAAACGCAAACATAGACACTTGTTTTTCGGAGCCACAGATGTAATTACAAAGATCACGGATTCAATCGATGTAAACATGACGCCTACGCATCATCCATGAGATTACGTCACATTCTCAAAATTTTCAGGATTTAAACGTGCATGAAAGCATTTATTGTAATATTTAAAAATGCAGAAAGGAAATTCAATCCCAACATTACAATCACATAGGGTTATTTGAGAATTCAAATTGAATACAGAGTGAATTTCACATTTAAAGGGATTCTATAGTGTTAGGAGTACAAATCTGTATTTAATTACTCACCTGATTCCAGCGCCAATGTCCCTCGGCACTGGGTCCGCGCTTCGCCTTCTCTGACGGGGTGCCTAATGCACATGCTTGGTGAGCATTGTGAGCACATTATGCCCTCCCCATAGGAAAACATTGTCTCAACGACTGATGTCGTTTAAGGGACTCAGAGTCTATTAGAATCTACAAAGTGCCTCTGGTAGCCGTCTGATAATGTTTTACATTGCAGGAATCTAAAGGGGGCAGGGACAGTGCATCCACACCATTTCATTAAGATTCCAATTTGGCTACTTTGACCTTAAATTTGAAATGTTCTTTGAAAAAACACTTTAGTAAACAACTCTGACAGGGACAACAGATTGCTCTACTGAAAAGTTTTACATATTTTAAAATACTTTTTTTCAGTAGATAACACTTGGTTGACCATTCAAGAAATTCACAAAAGTGGGATTATTCACCATCAACATAGTAGCATTTTTTTTTTTTTTTAAATCTGCAAAATTCAGGCTAAAAAAGCCAAGCTGTACTTGTAGCAGTTAAATACTTTTTTTTCCAAATCAGACAATTTTGCTTCAATTTTACAATTTACTTTTCAATTCACTGTTTAGTGAATTAATCACTAGGTAACAATCTTCGTGTCTTTCCTGGTAGCAACCGGCATGGTACCCGAGCAGAGGTCGGGGCTGGAATCGGTGGAGGGCAGATTGTAATGGCTGCCGGTGAGGAGGCCAGGTCCATGGGGGCTGTTAAGGCCATGCAGATGAAGTGCACCACTGGCTTGCTGGAATGTGAATTTCCACAGCGCTTTGTAGCCAAGGTTTTGAAACAAGTGGATGCCTGAAAGCAGAAACCTAGATAAAAGCTCCTTCCATCATCAGAAGCTGCTTAACTGGTAGGCCCTGCCCGTGGGAAACACCAGTAATAAAGCTGGTTCAAAGGTGCGTGACCGCACAGAGTCAGATCTTCATGTGACTTCTAAATTTATAGCCAACTTTATTCAATTCAGATCAGTAGATTAAGTATATGAACAAGGAATGGATTAGCTGATTGCCTTCTTCTTATCCCACACAGGCACACGGGCAGATTTATTTTAAGTATATTCACCTGAGCCAAATACGGCGAATCTCCAAACCGATAAAACTTTATGCATAGAAGGATTTAAATTGTAAAGCAGTGTAGAATAGGTTTGTTGCAGATTTATTTTCCGCATTAATGGCATTTTGAGGGGCAGTGGGTGATCAGTGAAATATTCCTTCTCGTTACACCCTACAAGTTCTTATTTATGAAGCACCAACAAATTTCAGAGCTCTTTAAAATGAGGGAACCAAACACATAATTAGGAAAAGAGATTTAATATACAGGATCCGAAGGTGACTTATAGCCTACCCAAATAAGCTTTCGTGACTCTCAGAAGATGAAATGGTTAATCCAACCCTCCCAAGGTTCGTTAATCTCTCTGCCTACTTGACCAGCTTTCTTTATCTTGCCTATCGGTTAAGAAGACCTGTTTTTTGGGTCAGTACCCACTACTCCTCTATGACGCCAATCATTACGTTTCTACTTGGTTACAAACTGGAGGAGAGCCTGGACTTCAGGTTTCTTTAATTAGTAAAATAAACAAATATAATTAATGGCCTTTCTGCTCATTAAACAATCCAGGGAAATATTTGAAGAACCAACAAAGAGTTGATTAATTTAGGAATCGGCTAGTTTTTATTAGTTTATTAATTACCGGGTACGTTTTAGTTTAAAAATACATGAATTGATAAAACGCGAATCTCCATCTGTGAACAGGTGCTTCTCATTCAGACCCCGCCATGTCAGAGGAGCAGGGATGAATTGGCTAACCGTTCAGTCGATGCACTTGGCACCAGCAGTCATGGCTTGAGGAGGAGGGAAGGAGATGGAATGATGGGAGGTGCAGGTGGTATGTGATTGCCGCCAGTAGTCAGGGCTTGGGGAGGAGGTACGGGAGAGGGCATGGTAGTCAATGGTGATGTGTGATTGCCGCCAGTAGTCAGGGCTTTAGGAGGAGGGACAGGAGATGGAATGATGGTGGGAGGTGGTGTGTGATTGCCAGAAGTAGTCAGGGATTGGGGAGGAGGGATGGGAGATGGAATGATGGTGGAAAGTGGTGTGTGATTGCCGCCAGTAGTCAGGGCTTGGGGTGGAGGGATGGGAAATGGAATGATGGTGGAAAGTGGTGTGTGATTGCAGCCAGTAGTCAGGGCTTAGGGAGGGAGGATGGGAGAGGGCATGTAGTAGGAGGTGGTGTGTGATTGCCACCAGTAGTCAGGGCTGGGGAGGAGGGGCAGGAGATAGAATAATGGTGGGAGTTGGTGTATGATTGCTGCCAGTAGTCAGGGCTTAGGGAGGGTGGATGGGACAAGACATGGTGGTGGAAGATGGTGTGTAATTACTGCTAGCAATTACTGAAAGGGAATATTTTCAGCTTCTCTCCCTCATGTCTCCATTTTGCCCCCAACTAGAAAGGTGGCACAGATAAACTTAAAATAAATGTGGGCTTACTGCTAGAGGGCAGGTGCAGTTGCGGTTGGGCACAGTCTTTAACGGCAGTGTCATGCCCACTGTATTACCATAGCAACACCACCTTTTCAAATTCACTGTTTCAACGATACTTAAATTGCACATAATTTACACTAAAAAAGATTCCACTTAAATAAGTAATGGGAATTATGAACAAACGTTTTATTATGAGACTTAATTTGAATTCTAAAATAAGCAGCCAGATTACCAACATTAGCTGACAATGGGTCTGCAGGAGCCACTTACAGCCCCAGGACCTACCAACCTCCTGCTTTAACCCACTGGAGACACCATTGACACTCGAAAGTTCAAACAAAAAAAAATCCCACCAATCTCTTACCAGTGAACAGAGACAAAAGTGTAATTTACAATCTAACTACTGCTAGTGTTTTGTTTCTGTGGACTTTGTATATTAATTAGCATTAATAAGATGTCCTAATCAACGTGACGCTGTGAAAAACTTGCCCAGACATGAATGCTCTGTCTCCACCTGTGCGCATTCAGGATTATTACCTGGGCGAGTGGGGAACTACAGCCTTTAGCAAAAACACAAATTTTTCTGTGTTTGGATTTTCCCAACAATGTAAAAGACATTATAATTAAGGAACATTTAACAGAAAGCTGTGCGTTGTAGCCTTACACCACCATATAGTTGTCCTAGAGGCCTGTAAAAAGAGGGCAAAAAGTTTAACACTGTAATACGTGTTGACATTACGTAACCATTACTTTAAAGGCCTGTCTTAATTCCCTAACTCCCTCATTCCAGCTATTGCCCATCCCAGCCATTGATGATGTGTACTGGGATATTCCACTAGAGACTGCAGAAACAGCGCCTATTCTAAAAGAATGATCTAAAAATGTTGAAGGTATCCAAGTAGTTTTATGGTGTTGTGAGCTTATTTAAAGCTGAAGTGGCAAAAGGATGTAAACGGCACTGTAACGGATCACCTGGCACCCCGACTGGGTACCTCCGTTGAAGGATGCTCCTAGTGCTTCCGGAGGGCTCCAAGCACTCCAGCCCAGGCCCGGACTGGCCATCGGGCACACCGGGCAAATGCCCGGTGGGCCGCGGTGGCCGAGGCCGGCAGGGGAGGTCCCAGGATCTCCCCTGCCGGTCTATGCAGGGCCGGCGCTATCCGAGCGCCGGCCCCGCTGTCTTCCATGGAGGGCCGATGGGGAGATCAAAGAGCTCCCTCACCGGCCCATTTAAATAGACCTGCGGCTGGGGAGGGAGGGAGAGGACCCGGCGGAGCTCTGTCTTGCAGCTCCGCCGGGTTTCTCTCGCGAGATCCGGGGCGTTGCCATGGCAACGCCCCGATCTCGCGAGAGAGTTCACTCACCACTGGACCACCAGGGATGGTGTGCGAGTGCCGGTGCCCCCCCTCCCAGCTACCACGTGCCTGTCCCCCCCTCCCAGGCTAAAGGTAAGAAGGGAGGGGGGGGGTTTAGTTTTTTTTTTGCTTAGTTTTTATTTTATTTTTTTATATATTTACCCCCACTTAATTTTTTATTTGTTTATTTACCCCCCAACACACAACATTTATACACAGCACTATCACACTCAGCATTCTCAGCACTCACACAACACTCTCACACACATCACACCCAGCACTCTCACACTCAGCACTCTCACACACAGCACTCTCACACACATCATAGCACTCTCACATTCAGCACTCTCACACTCAGCACTCTCATAGACAGCACTCTCACACACATCATAGCACTCTCACACTCAGCACTCTCACACATCACACGCAGCACTCTCACACACATCATAGCACTCTCACACACATCATAGCACTTTCACACACATCATAGCACTTTCACACACAGCACTCTCACACACATCACACACAGCACTATCACACCCAGCACTCACAACACACAACACTCTCACACACAGCACTCTCACACACAGCGCAGCACTCTCACACATCATAGCACTCTCACACACATCACACGCAGCACTCTCACACACATCATAGCACTCTCACACACAGCACTCTCACACACATCATAGACAGCAATCTCACACATCGCAGCACTCTCACACACATCATAGCACTCTCACACACATCATAGCACTCTCACACACAGCACTCTCACACACATCATACACAGCAATCTCACACATCGCAGCACTCTCACACACATCATAGCACTTTCACACACAGCACTTTCACACTCAGCACGCTCACACACATCACACAACACTCTCACACACAGCACTCAGCACTCAGGCACATCACTCTCACACACATCACACTCAGCACTCACACACATCATACACAGCACCATCACACTCAACACTCATACACAGCACTATCACACTCAGCACTCACACACATAACACACAACACTCACACACAGCACTCTCACACATCACTCTCACACACATCATAGCACTCTCACACACATCATAGCACTCTCACACACATCATACACAGCAATCTCACACATCGCAGCACTCTCACACACATCATAGCACTTTCACACACAGCACTTTCACACTCAGCACTCTCACACTCAGCACTCTCACACTCAGCACTCTCACACACATCACACAACACTCTCACACACAGCACTCAGGCACATCACTCTCACACACATCACACTCAGCACTCACACACATCATACACAGCACTATCACACTCAACACTCATACACAGCACTATCACACTCAGCATTCACACACATAACACACAACACTCACACACAGCACTCTCACACATCACTCTCACACACATCACACATCATACACAGCACTATCACACTCAGCACTCACACACATCACACACACAACACTCTCACACTCATCATACACAGCACCCTCACACACACAGCACCCTCACACACATACTGAACCCCTCACATACACACAACCCCCCAATACACAGCATCACACACATACACAATACTTCCAAACATATTTATATAAACTATATATATATATATATATATATATATACACACATACACACAACACCCCTCACACATACACTGCACCCCTAAACACATTACATTCCAGACACACACTAGATCCTTTAGCCAACTCTGGATCATATACACACACACACTCTGGATCCCCTATATGCACACTAGATTCCTTGTAAGCAAACACATACCACATTCCCTGAACACACACTCTCTACAAACACTAAATCACCTATACACACACACACTATAGCCTGTATGCACACACTTGCTACATCCCCTATACACACATTCTCTACAGCCCCTAGCCACATATGCATTACATTACACCACAAACACAACACGACTAAAACAGACCTTATTACACAATACCACACCATGACCAGCTCACTCTGCACAAACGTAATACCACAAACAGGATCCAAACACATGCACAATACTCTTTCCTGGCCCTTTTGTCTCCTGGTATCCATTTATAGAGACACCAGAGACAAGTTGCAAGGAAACACAGTGCAAGCATGTTATTAAATTTGTTTGCACTGTGCAGAACAAATACAGGACTTTTTTCTCATGCTAGAGCTCTTCAGCAGAGCTCTGCGCATGGTCTGCCCTGGAAGAGCATTGAACCAACATGCTCACTTTGAGAGGGGGCGTGTATGTCATGAGTGATGACAAAACACACCCTCTCTGCCCCGCCCCCTTCTTAGTGGGCCGCTGTGATAAAAAAATGCCCGGGCTGAATTTTTTTCCCAGTCCGGCCCTGCTCCAGCCGACACCATAATCACCTGTGGCGGAACCAGCCTCGCCACTGGGCATTGGAGAAGACTGATTGCCAGCCTCCTGCCATGTGACTATGGCCCCTGGGATGTATTGCCTGCTCTCCTGTACTGCTGAGGTTTGCTACCAACAAGGTGGATTTGGCTATGGAGCTTGTCTAGTGCCCTCTGTTGGTAGCAACAGCAATATGCACTACCTGAATAGCAAGACTGGTTCATTTGCATATTCGGGTAGATTTGCATATTGCTAATTCTGCAGGCACGTGAGATATTTTCTGTTAATTATTGTCTGCCATGTGTTATAATAAGTCACTGTATGTTGCCTGCTATGATTTGACTGTTTGTAATTTTCTTGAGTGTTTACAGCAATGTTAATGTAATGACCATATGGGCTACTCCCAAGGAAAATAAAGCTTTAGACAGTTCTTCTTGACCCTTCAAAATGTAGCCTTGTCTCGTTCTTGGAAGGGAATCTGCAGCTTAATCACCTATCTCTTTTAAGAGTTCTGCCGTGCTCTCTACTTGGATCCAGTGAATGGGAATAAGCAACTCCATTACTAAACACAAGCTTGCCGGGAAAAAGGATGTCTCCAACGGCTGATACCCTCTCACTAACTGGGGTAGCCATTACAGGCACCATGGTATCGATTGAGTATGGATTAACGGTTAGAAATTCTGAAGTGAATACTAGCTCTAGTATATGAACGGTTGGGATTGGCAGAGAGTGTTACATGTGGCAGAAATCTACCGAATCCATGAGACGAGGTCCTGAAATTTGGGGGTTTTGGTAGGTCGTTTGGCAGCCGTGAGGTGGGCTTGGAAGAGTACCTGTAGTGCTCTGTTGTGAAGGCCTGGTATGTGTATATGGACAAGGTAAGATTTTTATGTTGCTGCCAACCAAGCAAGTCAGTTTCCTAATTAAACTCATTATTGTTAGTGAGGAGAACCAACCTTTATTTATAATTTTACATGCTGCTGTGTTGTCTGACTAGAATTTGACAGATATCCCCCTCCATATAGATCCATAGGCGTGTGCTGCGGCCACGATGGGCAGGGCAATGTACTCCTGGGCTGCCCCATGGGCTCGCTGGTGCTGCGGCTGCATCGGGGGCCCACACACTAAGGGGACCAGGTTGGGTGCTGTGGCCATTTAACAACGCGATCGGTCCCCCTTGCTTTACGGCAGAAGGCTGGGAGGAGGTGAGTGAAGCCGAGTGGAAGGGAGATGAGGGGGGGGGGGGGGAGAAGGCCATCAGAAGGGGGCTGGAATGCCAGAGCATAACACATTTCCAACTATCTCAGCCTGCCATTGGACCCCTTAGGGAAGCCACCCTCCTGAACCCATAAAGTAGGAAACTGGAGGGTGGCTTTAAAAATATAAATTGTGCATGTGTGTCAGTATGTGTGTGTGTGTGTGAAGGGGGGAAGAGAGAGACAGACCAAGATTGGAGGGGAGGGAGAGACCACGAGGGGAGGGAGAGACCACAAGGGGAGGGAGAGGAGAGAGACCACCAGGGGAGGGGGGGAAGGGAGAGAAAGACCACCAGGGGAGGGGGGGAGAGACCACCACGAGAGAGAGAGAGACGAGACCACTAAGGGACGGGGAGATCATTTAGGAACAGGGAAGCAGTGGAGAGCACTAAGGGACAGGAGGGGAGGGAAGATTACGAAGGGACACACAGAGAGGGGCTTAGGTGGGACCTGGGGGTGGGAGGGGAAAGACACACACAGGGGCCACAAACCCTCTCTTTCACACTACACACACACATGTGCACAGAAACATACAATGCATCCCTACTCACACACCAAAAGATAAAGTGAATCCTACACACACAGAAACACACCATGCTTCCCTTACACACACACACAATAGCACACAATGCATCCCTTAAACACACACATACACACACATACACTGCTTGTCTTAAGGCATCTCTTACACACAGTCAATGCACCCATTACAGACACACACACTGCATTACATTACATACACAGAAACACACTTTGCATCCCTTACACACATACACCACATCCCTTACA